AGGGTGACCCAGGACAGGGGCTGCCGGTTGCTCTTACTGGCTTTGGGCAGCAGGATTGTCATCTCCTTGGAAAGTCCCACCCGGCTCATGATGTCTCTGAATTTCACCAGCACGAGGGGTTTCGCTTCAGTGTCTGTCCCTGCAGGGACAGAGACGTGGCTGCAGCCTGGCCAGCTGTCCCCAGACCTCCTCCTCCCATGGGGGTGGCATGTTGGGGATCCCATCCAGCCCGGCCAGAGCACCCAGCCCCCCAACACCCCGGAGCGGTGGAACAAACTGTCCGGTGGCTCCCGTCCTGCTGGCAGGGGCTTGCGGGACGGTCAGCCCCCCGCACCCCTCACCCCCCCGGGCATCACTGAGCCTCTTTGTGCTTCCTCCAGCACTTGCTGTAGAGAAACAGCACCGAGGTGGTCAGCCCCCAGGGCTGCCGGTCGCTGAGGAGGGCGGTGTGGCTGGGGGGGGTCCCGCACCCCAGTGGATGGTCTCACGCACCCCCTGGGCTGCATACACCCCACTTTGGAGACCACTGCCCCAGAGGAAGCAGTGATCTTCCCTGACGGATAAGCCTGACGAAAGGGATGTGTTTCTTTTATCCCTCGTGACGCTGCTGTCTTTATGGCACGCTCCGTTGGTCCGTATCGTGGTGTCGTCTCGCCCACCAGTGGCACGAGTTGATGAAGGCCGAGCTCGGGGCACGCTCAGGGCTTGTGGTGCCTGACTGTTCCCTGACACAGGGGTTCTCCATCTTCTCTCCCTGCCTCTCACCTCCAGATGTGCGTACCCGGCCGAATACCAACGCAGCTGCAGCTGGCAGGAGCGGTCGTGAGGTCAGAGGTGTCCCTGTGAGCAGGGAGAGCAGGGGGAGGCAGGTAGCTCTGGCTCACCCCGCCCGTGGGAAGGAAGGGATGTGAAATTCCTGTTTTATTTCCAAAGGAGCTGCCGATTTTGTAGATGTCCTAAAAAGTGGGTTCCCCAACTGGCCCTGTGTTGTCCGTGTGCTCCGGGAGGAGGTGTCGTGTCCTCACCGGTGGGGATTAAGGCACGTTGGTTTCCTGCTGGGAAATCCTTGGCTCCATCAGGGATGGAGGTGTTTGCAATTGCAGGAAACCAGTTCCCATGATTTCTGCTAAGTAGAGGTCTTCCAGAGTCTGACTTGTAAAGAAACCCCAACCCAGCACTTGGCCGGGGTCCGAGGAGGACGGGTTTTGCTGTGCCTGTAGCTGTATCTTCTCGCGCACTCTGAGCACTGGTCACCACATCCTCTCCCACCCCTTTATTTACGACCACCAGGGAACATCTTCCCGGCTCCATGCGCGGCTGAGAGCCCCTGAGCCCTTCCCGATGGCACGTTGTGAACCACGTTCATCCGCTCTCCCACCCGTGCTCCTGCCTTATGGCCACCCTTTCGCACGTGGAAGGGGCTCTCCATTCCCAGGATTAACTTTGACTCCTGACACGACAAAGATCAATCCCCTGACAACGGTTTTCCTCTTATACATATTTTATTGCATCAAGGGAAAGACATCCGGCTCTGCAGCGCCTGCACGTCCGCCCCGACAAGATTATCCAGCACTTCACAGGAGATGCAAACGGCCGGGGGTTCCTGCTGTGCTCCGCGGCGTTTCGCCTCGGAAAGGGCTCTGCTCGGGAACACAAGCTCTTTCCAGGGAGCCTGGCAGAGCCCTGCTGCAGATAAACGATTAAAACCCGTACGGCTTCCCAAGGGCACCGTCACACCAAAGGCAGCGCGTGGGGCTTCTCTGCCTGGGCAATAACTATTCCTCAGCACAAAAAGTCCCAGAATTACTTATCGGGAGAACTCCTGTGGCCGAGCAATTAGCAATTTTACAAAATCCCCTCCTAGTCTGTTCAGGTGTCAGAGGACACGGCGTGCCAGCCTTCTGCCACCGGTCCAGGAGGGTGAAGATCTCTGCAGTGCTCCACGCTGGAAGGGTGGTACCCAGCTCCTGGGGTGGGATGAGACACAGCTCACCTGCCCAGGGTCGTATTGGCATGAGTTGGGCTTCCTGAAGCTGGCACTGAGGTTCAAGCCAGCTGTGCTAGGGGCTTCCAGACACAAAGGGAGACGATGCTGTGAATTAGGCACCCAGCCCCCGGGTCCCCATCAGGCAATAACGGGTCTGAGCATTGGATGTGTTGGTGAGGGAGAGTGAGGGGCCATTGGTTGTGCCCCACCAGCACCTCGTGGCGCTGTCGTGATCAGGAGCCCCACACCCCTTCACGTGTGTTGGATCACCGAGAGCCGCATCCCTGCCGTGGGGAGGGTGGATGTCGCCCAGCGGCGATGCCTGCACCCTTGATGGACATCTGCAACACCCCCCTGCGCAGGGCTTTCCTCATGGCCCCTTTGACCTCGCTGTTTCTCAAGCTGTAGATGATGGGGTTGAGCATGGGGGTCACGGCGGCGTACAGCAGGGCAAGGGCCTCATCCACCTCCTTGGAGCCGCTGGAGTGAGGCACCAGGTACGCGACGGCCCCGGCGCCGAAGAACAGGGACACCACGGTCAGGTGGGAGGTGCAGGTGGCAAAGGCCCTCCGTGTCCCTGCTCCTTTCTGGAGAACAGCCCCGATGATGTGAACATACGACACGAGAGTAAGGAGGAAAGAGCCCATCGCGACAGTCCCAGCCAACGTATACAGGGCGGCCGTGTTGAGGGCAGCGTTAGGGCTGCAGGACGACTT